TATTAAAGTCTCTTACTATTATTCAACAGTGTATTTCTCCCCTCAATTCTGTCAATATTTGCCTCATATATTTTTGAACTCTGGCTATTTCACATATATATTCATCAGGAATATTGGCCTATATATTTCCTTTTTTATGTTCTTACCTGGATTTTGTGTCAGGGTAATGCTGGCCTCAGTAAATGAGTTTGGCAGTATTCCATCCTTGCTGGAAACCTTGGGGACCTTGGTGTTGGAATAGGTTGAAAGCCTGGGAGGGGGTAGTCATTTTGGTACTGAGCTCTTCTAAATCTTTGGGTTTACAGGTGCCCCCCAGAGCCTGGGTTGCAGGTATTGATTGGGAGCCTGAAGCCACAGGAGCCATCCAGGGCAGCAGGAGTTAGCCAGCACTGAAATGTTCTGGGAACCTCTGGAGCCTGTTAGGAGCCTATTGCCACAGGAGTTGCCCAAGGTCACAGGAGCCAGTTGGTGCTGGGGTAAGCTAGAAGCCTGTGTTTATGGGAGCCTGTCAGGAACCTAGTGCCTGGTGGGCTGGATCCTGGAGCCTCTGAGGCTGCCTGAGATCATGGAATCCAGCAAGCAACAGAGTTAACTGGGGGCCTCAATTCACAGGAGCGCTCTAGGAGCCTAGAACTGAGGAAGCTGATGGGAGTGCAGAATCACTTGGATCCACTGGCCACCTGGGACTGCTGGAGCTGGCTGGTTTCCTCATGGGCCAGAAGCTTGAGTTTGCAGGTGCCCTCTGAGAACCTGGAGTCCAGGAAGTCACCTAGAATCAGGGAGTTGCCTGGGGCTGCTGAAGCTGAAAGGTACCAGTGTGAGATGGGGGCTTGGCTTCATGGGAGCCTGTTGGAAGCCTGGTGCTATAAAAACCACATGGGTCCATGGGAGTTACATGGGGCCACTGGTGTCAGCAGGTGCCAGGATGATCTGGGGGCCTAGATTTGTGGGGTCCTGCTGGGATCCAAGTGCCATAGAGACAACCTGGTGCATCAGGAGCTTCTTGAATTCACCAGAGCTGGCAGGTACTGGGATGAGCTGGGGATCTGGGTCCCTGGAAGCCCACTAGGACCCTGGGTGTCACAGGAGCTACCAAAGTCCACCAGAGCTGTCAGGGACCTGGGTGCAACGGGAGCCTGGGTTACCAAGAGCCTATTGAGAGTCCTGCAGTATAAGCCACCTGGAGTCATGGGAGATACTTGTGGCTGCTGTAGACAAGAACCAGGGTGAGTCAGAGACCTGGACTTGTGGTAGCCTACTGGAAGCCTTGTCATAGGAATTGCTTTGGGACACTGGAATAAGTAGATGCTGAAGTGATCCTGGGACTGGGTTCATGGGAACTCACCAAGAACTTTGTGCCAAGGACAGCATTTGGGGCTGCCTGAGCCAGTAGGCACTAGGGTGAGATGGGGCCCTGTGTTCCTAGGAGCCCTCAGGGAGCCTGTGCCAAGGGATCCTCCTGGGGTTGCTGGAATTAACAAGTAAGGAGGTAAGCAGGACCTCAGTTTGTGGGATCCCACAGCAGTCCACCTACGAAAGTTGCCTGGGGCTGTGTGAGCTGCCTGAGGCCACCAGAGTAGGCAGCCACTGAGGTAAGTTGGGACTGTGTTCACTGGAGCCCCCTGGGACCCTGGTGCCAAAGACACCATTTGGAGCTGCTGGAACTGCCTGCAGCAGCTGGAGCCAAAAAGTGTGAGGGTAAGTGGGTGGCCTGTATTTGCAAGAGCCTGTGGGGAGCAACTGAAAGCTGTAGGAGTTGGCCTGGTGCTGGGGTGGGTCCACTCTTGGATTTGTGGTAAAATTGGATGTTCACTCCATTCTCCTTGTCCCATGGGGAAGTTATCTCTCAATGCTGGAACTCCTGGGCTTGGGGGAGGGCTCATAAGGTAATGTGAATCTATCTTTCATACCCACTTCAATACGTCCTTTGTTATTTCTGGGCTTTACCCAGGTGCAATGATCACTCACCTGGAATCTTTGCTCTTGTGAAGATATTTTCATGTATGGATAGTTGTTCAAATTGATGCTGGGGGTGGGGGGACAGACAAGCCATAGAAATTCCTATGCCACCATTTTGCTGATACCACTTTTTTCAAAGATCTCTTTCTGATTTTGTCTTTTCAGACATATTTTAAAATAAGACTAGCTGTTCTCTGATGGCCAGAACCTCTATGTATTCCAAATCTGGTAAGGTTTAATCAGTTATGATCCAGATAGGATTATTTAATCACTCAGATACTAAATTTAGCATATGGCTCTGGGATGTTTGTATGAGGGTCTCCATGACTTTAGATGAAATGTTAACTTGGCAAATTCAGCTGTCCATAGTAGAAGAGAGGCAACCAAATCCTGTTTTCCACCACTTGGAATATAATCTAAATTATATAGACCTGGATTTGGTAAAGATTTCATAAACTTAGCCCTAACTTATATATATATATATATATATATATATATATATTTTTTCACCAAGAACTTTGTGCCGAGGTCAGCATTTGGGGCCATCAGAGCCAGTAGGCACTAGGGTGAGATGGGGGCCTGTGTTCCTGGGAGCCCTCAGGGAGCCTGGTGTCAAGGCATCCTCCTGGGGTTGCTGGAATTTGCAAGTAAGGAGGTGAGCAGGACCTTAGTTTGTGGGATCCCACAGCAGTCCTCCTGTAAAAGTTGCCTGGGGCTGTGTGAGCTGCCTGAGGCCACCAGAGTAGGCAGGCACTGGGGTGATTTGAGTGTATATATATATGTATATATATATATATATATACATATATATATACATCATTATAGTCTAAGATACAGATTTTTAATAAATATGACACTGGGATACTAATTTTGAAGATAGTAATGTGCTTTTACCTTTTAACATTTACTCATGTATGAGATTCTCCATATTTTGTTAGATATGCCCACTTCCTTCATTGTTTATGTTCTGTGCATTGTTTATGTTCTCTGTGTTAGGATTGTAACAGGAATGCAAAAAAAAAAAAAAGATGTCAATATTAAACTTTTAGCATGTAAAATAGGATTTTTCCCCTAATCTGTAGCAGGCAACAATCTTGAAAAATGAGTATTGTCAAAAGAGGGAAAAAATATAAAAACTTTTTAAAAGTTTCCTTTGACATGTAGAAAGCCAGGTTGGTGTAATAGGAAGTTCATGTGGTATCTTCCACAGACAAGAGAGAACATATTTTTTCCATCATTCAGGTTGGGGCTTACTGTATCCAGGAAGAGGAATATGATGTAAAAGAAGTCCATTACAAAGAGGAAAAGTAACTTGAAAAATTTCTCCCTCTGCCTTAGGTGACTGCGGTAAGAGAAAGAGGACAGAATGACCACAGGTAAGGAAACATATGTTTTATGCTCTTTCTTTTCCTGGACTAAGATTTCAGGCTAGAAGTCTTATTAGAGAGCTTAAGAGCATATCTGAAATCAGAGGAATTTTTGTTCTAGTCTCTATTTGGGACTCTAGGCAGCAACCTCCTTTCAGTGTTCCCTCCATATCAAAATGGGTCAGCAACCACACGTGAGTCAAGTTAAAGGATGACATAAGCAGAGGAAGGAACCAAGTTTAGTGCTCTAGTCTCCTTAAGCTCCTGTGTGGTATAGAAGGAATTTAGATGTTTCCTGCATGCCCTAAGGAAATACAGGTAAAGTAGTTGATGGTGTTGTCTAGAAAGTCATCATACAGGCTGAGTGCTGCAGAATGGGAGATCCTAAGCAAGGTTGTAGTCATTACAGAAAAATCAAAAACTAACATTGTCTTTCCAATATGAGTACAGTGTCTGAATGCATCAGCCCTTCCACTAGTTGAGAGAATATATAAAATAACTCCATTTCTTATCCTTGTTAGCTTAAACCAACCTCATAGGTCATCTCCACTACAATATAGTAACAAGGGGCTTACACATATAACTCCTTTTCCCAACTTGGTTTGACTGAGGCAAGCACAGTTATGTTTTATTGCCCTGAGCCTCTGTATTATCTCCATTCTAAATACTCAGATTTACTTAAACTTTGGCAATCCAGCTAAGCCATAGTGGCCTAAACACAATTTTCAAATACAGCTATGCAGCAGTAGCCCTGGGTGATATATGGAGATATATATAGATATAGATATATAGAAAGATATTATTAGTCTATATATATTACTAGTCAATATCTGATTTAAGTGAAGTAAGCCCAAATAGACCATCAAGAAGATACTCTTCAATCTCTGCTTACTTGACCAGGCATGACTCTGGACATGATCTCCCTATTGGTGCCATCTAGCAGTGACTGGAGCATTGTCAAACTGGGTTGTGATTGGTCTGATAGGTTCTTTGTTCTTTCTTTTCCATTGGCCCATCCTCCAATTTAACTTGACAGGCCAGACTTTGCTCTAGGGGTAAAAGTTACATAAAACTACTCCTACATGGCTTTGAATAAGATGAATTTAACAATTCAATAGAGCTGTGTGTGTATTTATTTTTTACAGCATTTCTAAGTCTCCATCTCTACACCCTTAGAACTGAAGATGACTATAGACCTCTATTTATAATTAAAGACAGTGGCAGTGATAAGAAACAAAGGAGGGAAATTTTATTTTTGTGTTTAAATATTTTAGCTATTGGGACAATAAATATAAAAACAAAATTTAAGCTGCACATAACATAATAACCACTTAACACTGTAACCAGAGCAAAGAGATTTTATTTAAATTCATTTGTCAAAATACAGATATTTTTGTACAAGTTATGTTGCTCTTTTTTAAAACTTAAAAGGTAGTAGTACATATTACAAGCATCTCTCTGGGTTTTATTTGTTGGTTTCATATACTACAATACAAAGCCTTTTAAAAAGAACATTGCATAAATCCTAAAATCACATGTTTACTTGAAAAGTTACTTTCATATAGAAGTTTTTTTCAATATTTTCTCTTAAATATTTTTATAATGGGATAAATGGAAGTAGGGATTTAAAGGTAAAATACTACCCAGCCAGCTATTTTTTTTTTAAGTTTTTTGTAGTGCATATATCCTTAACATTTTCTTCTGGATGAATATAATATTAACAGAAACATGTATTGGTACATAAAATATAATTACAGAACTAACCATGAATATTGAACAGTTTGGTGTTCACATGTGTGAATATTGTAGAACATCTTCTCAATTTTCCTGTTCTTTGAAAATTGTTTTGTTTTTGAAAAATTCTTTAACTTAATGATAGTTGTTTATAGAGTTCAAAGAAATGTCTGAGAATACTATTTTCTATACAAGCAAGGCCCTGACACTCTAAAGCTGAGGTCACATTTTATCAATATGATAAATATTTACTATTTTATTATATAGATTGTATATGAAGTTACAATATTTTACTGGTAACAAATTTAGTAAGACAATATCTTAAAAAATACTAAATTTGTATGTGTGCTTTGTAAGATGGTACTGTAAAAGAGTAAGTCTGTGAAAATTTTAATATACTGTGATCAGCATAAAATATTATGTAAATGAGTTATTTTTTTAGCCCTAACCCAGTAATAGCCTCTCTATTGTTAAAATGAGGTATTATTTAGCTATTTGGTATATTTTTGAATAAGAGAATGATGTCTTACTGAAAATCAGACTTCATATTTTAAGCTTTAGATGTTTTCTTTTATATTGTATTTCAGAAAATAGAGTACCTTTTGTGTTTTGAAATAGAAAATGTTCTTAACTTCTCCTATTCTTAACTTAAAAATTACCAATGCTTTTACAACCTTTCATACCTTGGCCACTATTGATTTCCCTTAAAAATTTTAGTAATGAGGCTAAACCTAGACTATTGGATTTCCACTTATATTATCAGCTTCAACAACACATACATTTAACACCTATATGTAATTCATGTTTGAAAACTTGCTTTAACTTCACAAATGAGAGAAATTATAACTACATATTAAAATGACACAATAATGTTTATGTTTGATTACTAATTGAAGGAAAGAACACATTTCTTCTCTTCTTCCGAATCCATTTTGTGAAATGACCAGTTTCACTCCTATTGATAAAGATAGCTTTATGGCAGCTTCACCACCACAACACATGCACCAGCTCTTCCAATGTTGACAGGAACTTCCTAACAGAGAAAAAAAAAACAAGGAAAGAAATTCTGTCTTAATGAACTTTGTCTTCAGCATAATATATATATATATATATATAAACTCCAAACCATGTTGGAGTTGAACAAGTCCTTAGCTATTCTGGTCCAACCTTCACCTGGTACAAAGATGGAAATTGCAGCCCAAATAACTGTCCAGTGTGGTGGAAAGAATATATTATTTAAATGATGTAGAGCTGAGTCTGAGAAGCAGGTGATTTTGGTCGATAATTTTCTCATTTGAAAAATTACAGCAAAAATTATTAGCTTGAAATCCTTCGAGGTTTTTGTTAGGGTTAAGTGAGATAATGAATAAAAATAATTTGGCAGATAGTGGTTATAATTCCATTATTTGTTAGTTCTCTTTCACTCTTTCTAAGGTCACACAATGAAACAGTGAAAATCCAGGAATAGAATCTAGGTTCCTTAAGCTCCTGGTCTGCAATTTTCAGAAAAGTAAATTCCACAAGCTTAGCAAACATTTTGATTATTGTATTTGACTTAACAACTCCTTGTTTGCTATTTTTTTTTTCTTCTATTCCTAGCTGGTTCTAAACACTGATAAAATAAGGAGCTACCTACATGGCAGAATTTGAGTGTTTCTGAGGGTCTTAAAAAATCAAATTGTTGGAGGAGATAGAAAGCCATTGTCAGCTGTCATTATATTAATACATATTTATTGAGAACAGTAACCAGCTTACTGTGTAGAATATAGAACAGCATGAAGTCAGTATAAGGGAAGGTGAGGTTAGATACAAAATAAAAATATTTGCCTGTTTGTGGAAATGATGAGGAGTTAATCATACTTTATTATTTTTCATTAAGCTGCCATTTAATTAACAGAACACCATTAGATATTTTTTAATAAATCCAGTGTTATCACTAGAAAAAAATGTCAAAAGCATCAAGTTTGCCTTTAGCATCCCCAAGATGTCCTTCTTGTACTCTCCTTAGAATTTCTTCTGTTAGATACCCAGCATTCTTGAGAGGGTTTAATCCAGTCTCTCATTGTTCACTAAATTCCTTGAATGACTGATTAAGAATTACGACTGTTGTAGTTTATACAATCTCTATAAAAGGGGACTGAAAAAAATTTCCCCTGGTCAACAACCAATAAGAAGGCACAGATATTTGTTGATAAGGACATTGCACTTTGGTTCTCAAGTCATAATACATACTTAGAAAGTTGGCCAGATAAGGCTTCCAAATTATTGAATTGATTCACTTGAGTAAAGCTTTTGAATTATCAAATTGGATTCACTTTTCTGTGAAAGGAATGAGTCCATAAAGCCAAGAGAATGTTCTGTTCTCTTTCATATAAGTATTGATGGATCCTGCCAATGATAAATTAGATCAACTAACTGTACTCAATAGTATAGGTAAAGCAAATACTGCAAATTTCACTAAAAGATTCTGGGTAGGCCCTAATTCCAAACATATATTGTAAAGACTTTTATTAAAACCTGAAATGTACTAATTTCAGTACTTTCAATGACAGTACCTCTTTCCATTCATCTTTCTGTGCATCATATGACTCAACAGTGTTCAAATAAGTATGTCCATCATATCCTCCAACAACGTAGAGTTTGTCTCCAAGGGGACATACAGCAACAGCATCTCGAGGAACACTCAGAGGTGCTACAGTTGACCATGAATCATTTTTTGGATCATACCTTAAGAGTTTAGGAAGACAATTAAAAGATGAAGTCCTATAATGTTAAAAATAAGACATTAATAAAATGTATACTTACCCAATATAAGGAATTAAAAACATCTTATAAATAGCAAGTTTAGTCTAATAAATGTTCAAAATAAGTACATGACAAAATTCTTTTCAACCATAAGATATCACTCAAAGCATATCAAAAATGTATTTCCTTTCCAAAGTACTATGCATCCTTTGATTACTACTTAGATTCTCTATGAGGAAATTTCACATATTAGCAACTTATCATTACGAGAAAAATGTCCCCTCTCTCTTCTAGTATGCTGGTTGGAGAACTTTTGGTTTTCTCTTATTCTTTGTTTATCAAAAATTTTTTGTGAGATGCCTTATCTTGTTCATGTGAGAACCCACATTTCAAGTAAATCTGAATATAATTGCCTTCTTGTTTTGTAGAATGTAGTACCCTGGTTTTAGTATTATTTGTAGTTAGAATGACCATAGTTTTATCCTATCATTTTCCCCATGAGTGTTCCAATTTATCTTCACAGGAGGAATTTTCCCATTTTAATCTGAAGTTAACTCTTTATCCCTAAACCTTTTCTGTAAGCTAAATGAAAGAGAATTCAGTAAGTAATAAAACCTTCTCCAGGAATTCTCTCCTAAAATTTGAAGCCTTAAAAAAAATAATACTAAAATCTGAAAGGAGTGGACAATGAAAGAAAACTTACATAATTATACATGAAAATGTTCTCTGCTTTTATATTGGCCTATTTGTAAAACCCAGTGAAAAAAGTCTATTTTACAGAATAATTTTTTATTTATTACCTTCTACTAATTTTCTTATATTTCTATTACCTCTTTTATTTCTGTTTTCATCTCTTAAGATATATTCTAAATTATCTGATCTCAGATTCCATTTGAACTTGGTCTCACATCCAGTAATATTTTTAATAATATCTGAAATCAGCAAGAATTAAAATAACCTCAGTGTTCCATACATATTGTTGATTGTCATGTAGCGTATCATCTTCAATTCTGCTGTTATAATAAAACCCAGAACCAGGAAATCCATAACTGTATGATTTAGCTAAGCTAAATGTTCAACACATTTGCTATTATTAATTGTTGCTGCCCTCAACTAACAGACTACATACATAAATGAATGGTGAACCAGGGCTCACAGAAGGATTTCCTTACAAATTTGCATCTAAACTTGACTTTCTTGTATGTGCATAAAAATTAATGCTCAAAGATCTGTTTAATGTTAATATTATCTCACTATTGTTTGATTAACAAGAGAGATTTGGGTAACATTGAATCTTTTGAAGAAAATAATTGGCAATAAGGTTATTATCTGTAAAGACAAACAGGAGAAGTTATTAAAGAAAAAGCACTTATTTGTGGAACATAAGGAATAATATGGAAGGCATTAAGAGAAGGAAGGGAAGGATGAAGGGGGGGAATCAGAAGGGGAGACAAACCATGAGAGACTATGGACTCTGAGAAACAAACTGAGGGTTCTAGAGGGGAGGGGGGTGGGGGACTGGGTTAGCCCGGTGATGGGTATTAAGGAGGACACGTACTGAATGGAGCACTGGATGTTATATGCAAACAATGAATCATGGAACACTACATCAAAAACTAATGATGTACTGTATGGTGACTAATGTAACAAAATAAAATAAAATTTTTAAAAAGTTAGCCACCATATCACTTTCAAATTAAAATAACATCATGTCTCTCCCTTTTTGTTTTTGTTTTTCTGTCTCTCCTTACTTTGAATAACAGTATATATATTCTAGTAGAAACAAGATGGAGCTGAAGTAAAGAGAATTAGCTATGGACTTATTCCTACACTTAGAGAAATTAGGAATAATTTGCTTGACTACTTTGCCTCAATTTTCTCATCAACATTATAGAAATAGTAATCCCCGAATCAACCAACTTGTTTATGTGATGATTTTAGAAACATTTAAATTATTACCTTAAATAATTCAATGAGATTCTTAAGGTACTGAGTAGGCCAACATTGTTTTAGTTGTAGAAAACAGTCAGAAAAATTTCTCAGACATAAAAATGAGGAGTATCTGATTCCATAGAATGTGAACTTTTGATTGGCTTTCTACTAATAGAATTATTTTACAACTCTGTAGGTGTTAAGTTGTAGAAAACTGTTTTCTTGTACAAATGAATTTTGCCTAATGGAGATAGAATTAATTTCCACCATGTAGAAATGGCCACCAAAGATTAAATTTTACTCTCCATAGGATATTAACTATTTTGCACCTATTAACAATTTTTTTCAGTATTCCTAATTGTCTATATGTCTTTTCTTCAAAGACCCTTTTGAACCAGTTTTAACATCTTATGGGTTACCTCATTAATTAATGAATCATAAAATCCTTGGCCCATGTTAATTTTATATTTGTATGAAGTCATAATTATAATATTTTGAAAATTATATTTTAACATTAACCATTTTCTCAAGGTCTTTTCAAAGAAAATGCCAATAAGGGGATAATAATAGTAATAACAATAATGATCATTACAAAAATAATACAAACAAAACAACCATCAACTAATTTCTGCTGAGTACTTAACAGGTGCAAGACAATGTAGTAAGTTCATTATCATTTATTATATTGTACTCTATGGGATTGATACTGTAATTATTCCTTTTTTTTCACATGAGGAAACTGGTGTTTGTGGATGTAAAAAACTGGATCAAGGGTGTCTGGGTGGCTCAGTTGGTTAAGCGACTGCCTTCGGCTCTGGTCATGATCCTGGAGTCCCAGGATCAAGTCCCACATCGGGCTCCCTGCTGAGCAGGGAGTCTGCTTCTCCCTCTGACCCTCCCCCGTCTCATGTGCTCTCTCTCTCTCATTCTCTCTCTCTCAAATAAATAAATAAAATCTTAAAAAAATAAAAAATAAAAAAAATAAAAAACTGGATCAAGGTCACCTAACTTGTAAATAGTGAAATTGGGATTTGAACTCAGATTTGTGTGTCTTCAAACCAAATACTTTTAACTAGTATGCTATATATTTTTTAGTACATGTGAAGTGCTCTTTTTTCCATTAAATTTTTTAAAGATTTTATTTATTTATTTGAGAGAGAGCAAAAGTGGTGTGAGGGGCAGGGGGAGAAGCAGGTTCTCTGCTGAGGAGGGAGCCTGATGAGGGACTCTACCCCAGGACTCCAGGAGCATCACCTGAGCTGAAGGCAGATGTTCAATTGACTGAGGCACCCAGGTGCCTCTCCATTAAATTTTTTAACTGTATCTGAATTTTTTAAAAAATCGGTATATTTGGAAATGTAATTATGTCAGTAAATAAGGTTAAACATTTAATTATTAGGATGTTTGTATATATTTAATTTTGTAGTTTGCACTATGAACTTTATCAAAAAATATGAACTGAGTTTATGTTTTTCTAGTTGTGTGTGTAAATGTCTATTTAAATTAGTATCAACACTTTAAGAAATTGTTAGGTTATTTTTATAGTGAACAGTCTGTTGTCCTAAAATAGAGCCCAACTCCTTTCTCTTTCAGGTATTAATGTACAATTCCACAATGTCAGGTGTTCATAAAGTAAAGCCAGGGAAAGGTTGGCATAGTAAGAGGTTATAAGATGGTTATTTAATTAAAATATTTTGTGTATTTTAGATTTTTTTTCTCATGAAATGTGTCCTTTTCCTTACCAAACTTAGTTTTGTAGACCTATACATTTAGGTACAAGGAACCAAGCAAATGCAACACAAGTTATACCATTAAGATCTAACAAAAAGCCTTCAAAGCTGTAGTCAAACAAAACATGGATTCTAACATCCATAACAAAAATCTCTTACTAACTTGGATTTATTACAAGAAAATTGCTGTCATAAGGGCTTAAGACATTATATCTGTCTATATATTTACATGATTTAATTTTTAATTAAGAAGAAATTTTTGTGAATTCAGGTTGTTTTCATAGTAACAAACCTTCACGACCTTTTATTTACTAGATATAATCATATAACTGAGATATCACACAGTCAGAAGTGACACAGCTCTGATCTCAGGCTAGTAAAATCCATGGGAAGTAGTACTACACATGTCTTGTGAAAGATGTAGGGATATTACTGATATATATAGAACTGGAGCAAGTGATTACTGATTGAAGATTATAATAGAAGAACTATGGCCTAAGAAGCATCATGGCTGAGACTCTTAAACAAAATAAGACATTTATTTTTTAATATTTATTTATCTATTTGAGAGAGAGAGAGAAAGGAGGGGCAGAGGGAGATAGAATCTCAAGCAGACTTCCTGCTGAGTGTGGATCCCGATGCAGGGCTCGATTTCACAATCCTAAGATCATGACTTGAGCAGAAATCAAGAGTCAGATGCTTAACTAACTCAGCCACCCAGGTGCCCCAACAAAGAATCAAAACACACACAGGCACACACTCATAAAATGGCCCAGGAAACACATACCTAAGAAAGGTCTGAAAAGGCCTCAAGTCTTCATGCTGGCTTGATCCCAGTCACAGAACATAACTTGCCTATTAGTGAGGTTTCCCTATGAATGGAGCCTATCTTCAGAGACTGGGAAAGGTATCTGTTATTTCAAATGCCCAGTTTTCCACAAAAGATCACAAAGAATACAAATGAACAGGAAAGTGGGTTTCATTCAAAAACAAAACAAAACAAAACAACAACAAAGAAATCTCCAGAAACCATCCCTACAGAAACACAGGCTTCTGACTTACAAGATAAAGCCATTAAGACGACTGTCTTATATATGCTCAAAGAGCTAAAAGAAAAACAGACTAAAGGGAAATAAAAGATCAAGAACAAAAAGAAAACTAAAAGAAATCAGTAAATGATAAATGAACAAAACGAGGATGATAACAAAGGGAAATAAATTATGAAGAACCAAACAGAAAATCTGGAGCTGAAAAAATAAAATCACTGAATTGAAAAATCACTAGAGGGGTTCAGTAGGAGACTCAGATGGGCAGAAGAAA